CATTAAGCCCTTAATCTGACCACTGGAACAGCTGAGTGAAAGCCATATGGCATTTAGAGGCTGCTTATCAGATCGTCTTACTGTACAGCACCAGAGCTGAATCAATAAATAATTTCACTGTCGTTTTTATCCAGCAGGTTCTCTCACGGTTAAAGAGAAAATCGTATGTTTAATTGGACTTTTTGGTGTGTTAAAGTTCACTTTATGTCCTGTCTCCTTGTTTCAGAACGGACAGACTCCCCTGATGGTGGCAGCAGAGCAGGGCAGTCTGGAGATACTACAGGAGCTCATTAGGAGAGGAGCCAACGTTAACCTGGACGATGTTGTAAGCATTCAAACGCACACACACAACATGTCAAGCTGCCCGATATGAGCACATGGGGTACACGCGGCGTACACAGAGTGGAAAAACAATGCGGTCATTTTAACCGCATCATCCACCTGACAAAGAAGACGAGAGGCCTTGATGTTCCATCTTGCTGAACTCACCACAACCGGGCTCAGTCCTCAGCTATTATGAGCCATCATGAGCCATAATGACAGCTTATTACACACTTTTACCTTCGCTCGTTCGACTAAATGACAGGATCCTCTCGCTGGCCAACACCCGGCGCCTTCAGACGCCGGCCCCGGTGCACGCACACACTCACGCATGCGAGCGCCCTCCCACTGAGGCACACGCATGCATGCTCACACACCTCTCATCAACATCTCACGTACATGCAACCTGCTATTACACTCAGCACCCTCCAACTTCTGCTTACTGTCACTGAAGAAGCGAGGGAAAGCACACTGTAGTCGCTCGCTCTTGTTCTCTGCTCTCCGACACCCGAGTTTGTCAATGCGACACCGCGTTCCCATGAGCACCTGGTACGACCAGCTGGTAGGTGGGGGTGCTTCAGCCATTCCTGGGTGTATGTCCCCGACAGACGCCCCGTCAGCTGGATGTGGAGTCCGATGGGAGTTCTCACAGTAACCGGTTGTCTCTGTACGCAGGACTGCTGGACGGCGTTGATCTCGGCGGCTAAGGAGGGACACATCGAGGTGGTGAGGGAGCTGCTGGAGAACAATGCCAACCTGGAGCACAGAGACATGGTGAGATGATAGGGACTCACGGGAAAGTTTGTCTTCACTTAAAGTCTGAAATTTGTGTTTTATAAATGGAGAACTTTACATTCAATCAATGTCTATGATGGTATAATATTATACCATATGGCACTATTTACGTCAAAATAAAAAAGTCAGTTAAGCAACAAAACGATGGGATCAGAGGCTCCTGGTGGCCTACTGGCTGAAACATACTTCTCACTCTTTCCTCTAAATGTACATCCTATATGATACCAAATAAAGCACCTAGAAAAAGCAGATTGGGGTATATTGTGGAGCAAACACAGCTTCTAGTAATTTAATTCCTGATCCAAATAACCGGAAAATTGACATTTACGTAGGAGAAAGTAGTGATGGTTAAAAGAATGAGATGCTACGCCCGTGTTCTGGCCAGAACATCAGCAGTTTTCATTTCAGTTCGATGTGACAGACAGTACCAGTGCTGGTTGAACAGGATGATCCATTAGCTCGGTAATGGACGTGAAATAAAATTAGTTTCTGTGCGACGTCTCCTCTCTAGTGGTAATTCCATTTACTGAGCTCTGGTAGTCTCGGCACGGGGCTGTGATGTTATTTAGTTGTTTCGGGAGCAGACAGTCTGTAACTATGGCAGCTTTTCTGAATGTTCATGCGGAGACTAGACGACATGCATGTGTTCAGATTTACAAAAAAATCTATATTGGCTCTCCAAGGTTGCATTTTTTAGATATTTTGGCGTGTACAAGAAGACGAGTCGACTCTAAATCCTCGGCCGCTGTGACTGTATGGAAGTGACTCGGGACATCAACTGACTCATTACTCTTCGGGGCGTGTCTAAGCTGCACAGGAGAGATCACAGCCAGTCATCGCAGCAGGATTATAAAAAGCCACTCTGTGTGATACTGTTCACTCACTGGAAAGAGTGTCACGCCGTCTGTAAATAGCACATTTTCCTCCCACAAAAATCTGCCTCGATTTAAGTGTTTCTGTAAAATAGAATGACACCTATATGCTCTGAGTATGTTGTATGTAAAGCTGGTTTCTCATCTTCCCGTATTTAATTAAACTGTTCAACCTCCTACCAACTCAGCTGTGTTCTGTGTTTTTCACTCAGGGAGGCTGGACTGCTCTCATGTGGGCAGCCTATAAAGGTCGTACAGATGTGGCCCAGCTGCTCCTAGAAAAAGGAGCTAACCCGAACATCACTGGACAGGTACTGAAAGTAAACACACATCTTGTCATCACTTTGTGTGCTCATCTTCCTCCATCTGAAATCCCAGCTGATAGATGTTTTGATTTTGGTTGGGATATTTCGTTTCACCTGCACCGTGCTCCCCCCGATCAGCTGCTGTTTGAGTCATGTGAGACGGCTTAGAGCATTTGTACGACCGCAGGCCGAACACCGATCGTTAGTTACTGTCAGCGTGACTTCATCGCTCTCCTCTGCCCCAACAGTACAGCGTATACCCCATTATCTGGGCGGCGGGTCGAGGCCACGCAGAGATTGTCCATCTCCTGCTGCAGCACGGCGCCAAGGTCAACTGCTCAGACAAGGTAACGACATACTGACAGATGTTCATCATTTACTTGCTTTAATCACACAGGAAATGTAGTTAGTGGTCAGCTTTAAAAATGTAAGCGCTTTGGTGCACGTTCACCTGGCCGTCCCCTAAGCCTCCCTAATGTCTTCCTTTATCTATTATCCTTCTTTCATAATTAATCAGTCCCTGAGTCGCTCGATGAATCACCTCCTGCCACACATGTCTCATGCACTCCATCACGTCTCCGTCTTTTCTTCTCAGTATGGCACCACTCCTTTGATTTGGGCTTCGAGGAAGGGCCACTATGAGAGTGTGATGCACCTCCTGGCCAACGGGGCTGATGTGGATCAGGAAGGAGCAGTAAGTAGCATTTAGCAGATATCCAACACTGTCACGCTTTCATGTAACGACACTACGCTGTCCACGTGAGTTTTTGCCATTAGATGAGTAATAGTAAAGCCGGAGTTAAGCAGAATTTTAGTCATAGTTTACGTAATTATACACGG